GCTACTTAAATTGATCTTGAATTGTAAATATTTAAAATAAATTAGTATTTTTAAAAATTTTAGAAAGAAAACCAAAGATTTTATTTTAGAACAAATAATGCTAAACATTTTATTTTAGAAATTCTTCGTCACTAATTTTTTTTTTCTCCTGGGCCATAAAAAGTTTGCTATTATTTATTATCAAATAAACTATAGTTTAGGTGGAACTAGGTGGTACATATTAAGGAACTGAAGCGAAAAAATGGGCCATATTATATCAGAATATCTACTTTAAAATTGGTCACATTTTTCTTATAAAGACATTTCATCAATTCGAAAGTTTTGTAAACTATGCGCATACCATTAAAACGAGTGTAACTGGGAAATTATAACGTCGAGTCTATTATAGAAAATGGTTATTTTGAACATTTTTTTTCCTATTTTCGAATCAATGGTCAGACGATAATTTATCAAAATATTTGCATAATAATTTTTCAATAGGGTTCAGGTTTGGTTGAGCCGCCCCTAGACGTTGGTGCACCTATAATAGCTACGCTCCTGATTAAAAACCTTTAAAGAAACTCTGGTCTACCTATTTCGAGTCTTAAAACCTCATTGATATCACACATACAGCCAATACTTTCGTAAAACATTTTTAAAGGCAATATCAATTTTACCTAAGTTCCATTTATTTGCCATTTTAATTATTATCTTTTTATTAATGGGGTGCGCTGAAATTGGGAAGGAGCATTTCACCAACATATCTTTTCTGTTTTCGTAAATTCGTCTATAATTTCGTTGTAGAAACGCGAATATTACGACATTTCCCTAACAAGATTGTTTTCAATTGCTAATATTGGTAAGTCGATTTCATCCTTATGCATTTAAGTGCCGGAAAACTACGTTACACGGAGGCAATAGTAGTCCAAGAGGTGGGTGATTTTTTATTCGCAAAAGGTCGGAAAGAAATTTGGTGGAATGGTAGACATGGGTCCCCTGATACTACACCTAATTTTGCGACCTCGGGGGGTTGCCGCTCGAGGTGTGGAGATATGAAAACTCTGCGTCGCGACGCTTTTCGGGAAATAGCGTCGTTATGGTAAGTGCTATCGAAAAAAAGTTTAAATGAAATATGTACAGGACAAAATGGTGCACAAAGTCCGCGGTAAAATCTGTGCAATAGCCTAATAATGAAATAGTTAACACTAATCAAATAAAAATTAATAGTTTTTCTACATCCGTATTATAATAATGCACTTATATGTCCATAATCCGTTTCATAATGATACCCATTATGATTTTTCATTACGATACAGATTTTTAATCAATAGAAACATACAATTTTTCAATCAAGCATGCTTTTTGACGTTTGTCCTAGGTTCCTATGTAATTGTTTTCAGTTGTCAAAACGTAGATAACTAAACTTCGATAATTATAATATTAAAATGTCTGATATCAGCGATATCGGAGTAAGCAGAAAATACAGTACAAAATATTTTGCCGCAAAATCTAGGGAAATACCAATAACCGAAGTAATATCATTTAGTTTTTCTATGACCATTAATTACAATTTTGTAGAATTTTTTATAGAAATACGAGTAATTACTGTTATTGTGTTCAATACCAATATAAATGTAATATTTATAGGTCTTTATTATTTATCGGGTGTAGAAAAAATAGCGTATGCAACTCTCATGTAATGGTTATTACATGATCGTTGCATAATATACTATTTTATAAATCTTAAAAAAGAAAATTAATATTTAATATTTACGCCAGCCGGGATCATTTGATACCAATTTATTAGAAGCCAGAGAAAGCTCTTCTAGTTCTTGTATTGCATAAACGTTCCAGTCCGCAGACGTATATTTAACTCCGCTTTATACTAATACGAATAGAGTCGGATAAAACCTTCCACGGCTTTCAAAACGCCGCACCGCTGTGCCGGTAGGAGTGGGGGGTGTTAGGTTTATTTTCTTTACGGAATTACGAAATTTCTTGATTCGGTCGCCACGCTCAAAGCCCGCGATAAAAGCTATGCAATAGCTTAATAAATAATAAGTTGAGGCCGAACAAGGGACACGTATGCTATACCACAAACAGGATATTAATGACAACTAATGCACAAGAATAATAAATTTGGCGGCTAGGTCAACAATAATAAGGAAATACAGACTGTAGATTCTGATAATTACTGAATATGTAGGGGCGCGCTTCAAAACTTCATAGCATTTATTATATACGACCAAATATATCAAATCGGGCATCTGCAGACTCAGAAATCATTTCTCTTTTAGAAAAAAAAACCTAATTGTTTCATAGCGATATTCGTCTTAATCTGCGCTGATATTCTCATTTTGTTGAACATTGCAAATCAATCCCCTACTTTGGCGCGTCGTAGAGCGGGAACTATTGTTCGCAGACAAAAAAATGTGAAGTTCAAAATTGTGCACGATTTTGACTTGTACATATTTCATATGAACCTCTTTTCGATAGCACTTACCACAACGGCGTTATTTCCCTAAAAGCGTCGCGACGCAGAGTTTTCATCCCTCCACCCTTCGAGCGGCAACCTCCGAAGTCGCAAACTTAGGTGTATTATCAGTAGACCCATGTCTACTATCCCACCAAATTTCATTTCTTTCTGACCTTTTGCGAATAGACCCCCTTATTCTTTACCCACCGCTTGGACTAATAGTGGCTGGAACACTAACTCACCTCTGAATGTGGCTTATCCAATGCACTCTCATAAAAACGTCAATAACTGACGCATTCTTTTTTTTTTAATGAATATATTCGGTGTTATACAAAGCTGTTAGTTCGGAACGTAAGAAAACCATGTCAAAATACTGACCAGAATGGCACATCAACAATTTCAATTGGATTTTCGAAAATTATTTTTTTTAAACGCGGTAAAATTGATCAGTGCACATACGTTTTATTTGTGCTTCCAAAGTTTTATTTATTTTTTAATAATATAATTAAATTCACATATCTTTTATATACAGAATCCAATATCATTTAGATTAGATTTAGAAAGGAGTTGAACATTATTTGTCATTGTCTTCTACGACCTTTTCAGATTTAATGTGTGACGTTATTTAGAGTATGTCATCTAGCTTGATCTTTTTTATTAGACTTTTCTTCGCCTATTGTTTTAAACCTCAATCTAGCCAGGCCTGTACACTGGCACTGGGTGGCTATCCTCGATAATCGCTAAAAAAACGAACCGTTTTCGAAAGTGAGTGGTTGAAAAGCGAGTAGTTTTTAAAATCTATATTCTTGACTGGCGTTCGATGAGCATTCGTTTTTTAAAACGTGTACGTTCTTAACAAGCAAATAATGTCTAACATCACTGTAAACTATCTATATTGTTAAATTCAAGTAATGTGCAGGCCATAAATAAAAGGATAATGTAATTTAATTACAACAAACCAATTGTAAATTTATCGAATGATGATTTTTTCTAATCGCATAATATATTAATATTCAGGATAAACCAAATCGTTATTTTTTTGGGCATAAATTCTATACGGGTGCAGTCATTACAACCTATAATTCCAGGAAAACCGTACGTCACAGAAATTCTAGTATTTATGGTACACAATTAATTTAAATAATAACTTTGCTTATCTCATTCATTGCTTTAATTTTTTGTGGCAATTTTACAAAATTGTTAAAATTTCTGGACAGAACGTGTGATACAAAAGAGCTTTTACCTACCAATTTGCAATAAACCGCAAGCAAATTAATATCTGTAAATGAAACATACATTAATTAATAATTAAATTCATACACGGTAAGATATAAAAAAATGATCATTTAATATCCATTAAATCCAAAAAATTAATTCTGCCTCTGCGTGTCTGAATCTTTGATGATTCTTATCTTCCAAGTTTTTTAATTGTATAATTAATAATAGTTGACAGAAATTCACAGTTATTAGACTTTTTTAGTACTGCAAACCATATTTATAAGAAATTAGATACTTTTGTAGGTAATAATACAAAACAGTTTACCTAAAATTTGTTAAAATCAGTCAATATTATTAATCATCCTAAAAGTGACATATAAGTGACATTAGTTAAATCTTTGAAAACATGCACGTTTTATCAAAAACGTGTGAAAAATTCCGCTCGCTGTAAAACACCCGGTTTAAAAATGTACACGCTTTTGAAACGAATGTCAAGAATAGCGAATAGCTCGCATGTTGCTAAAGCGTATACGTTTTTAAGAAAACGATAGCCGAGGATAGGGCCCCAGCAGGACGTAGATTGATATGTCCTATTATTCTTTCCAGAACCTGCACAATGTTGCTTATTCTGCTGGACTGATAAAAATCATGTTTCTTCTTAGGCGACAGTGTCCTGTAAAAAGACCTATTGGTGTCATAACAATTTGACGATTCTGTTTCAGTAGGTCTTTCGTGAACTTGGCCGATGTGTCCTTGATGAACTGTTTGGCCTGTATTAATCTTGGACAGTTGTTCCCCCATTCCTAAGAATCTTTTTGCCTCCAATGTTTGATGGGTCCAATATCACTTGTTTTGCATTGAAATAAATTAGACGTAGGTGCCGTACTATCCCAAATACTTGGGTATTTAATACATTCAACTGAATATTCATTGTAGAGAAATTGCAACTTTAACTTTTTACTTTCGCGTTCGACCCCGAATATTTTTAAATTTATACGGATATGTAGTTTAATAATTTGCTCATACGGGTGGAGGTGGAACGTAGTTGTGTCTAGATTCTCGCTCTACGCTAAAGGTAGAATAACTGGCATTACTGGCTGCACTATTATTAGTATGCCAAATACAGAGATTAATATGTTATTGACTTTTCTGCTACATAGGTATTTAATTTGAAACGCTGTTTACAATGAAGGCTTGAGCTATATTTGGGATAAGATGAATTTATTTTATTATACAGTTTAGAACTAAAGAGATTATGACCATCGATTTTAACTTTGAATAATCTTGCCTATTTTAAGGGAATCAATGCCTTCCTTGCTTCCAGGGACCGCACGTCACTTATTTTCACGCATTTACATTAACAGAGATGTGACATACAAAATTAAGCAACTAGATGCAGCCAAAACTGCAGGTGCCGACGGTATACGATAGTATACTACGGTATACTAACATCCACACTATAGGGCTGCTGCTTCTTTGCCTTCAATTTTAATTTTTTGAGTATCGTTTGATAGTGCAACATTTTCTACTGTTTGGAAATTCTCTAACTTGGTGCCAATTGACGAGATTGGAGAAAAAACTAACATAAAAATTATACCTAAATTATTTAAATCGATCAGATATTGGCCATATATAAAAATTACTAATGCTAATACGGATTCCTACCAAGGACACTCAACTATCAGGAGTAGGTCACAATATTTCTGAAGAATCTCTTTTAAGGAAAACGTTTCTAGACAAAGTGTTCGAGAACCAGGTTTTCCAAATTCGTCAAGATTTGCTTGAGGGATTTTTTTTTTGAGTATCGATGGATGAAAACACTGACTTTTTGGGACGAAAGATTGTACACCTTTTTGTGAAGAATTTAACACCAAACGAACCTTCCTCTTGCTATTTTGTAGCGTCTAAAGTAACAAGTGAAATAGTGAATGGTACAATGATATTTAATCTTTTTGACGAAACTTTGATGGTTGAATAAAACTGAGCCAAATTTAAAAAATATTATTATGTTTACAAGCGATGCCGTCAGCTATATGCTTAATGCTGAAAGAAAAATAAAGGCAAAGTGCCCACAAACACTTCATGTTACATGTATTGTACATGGCATTCATCGAATTGCAGAAGAAGTAAAAAATCAATTCAGAGATGTAGATAACTTCGTGGATAATGTTAAGAAAATATTTTTAAAAGCTCCATCTCGCGTTAAAACATTTAAGGAAATGTTCTCAGCCTTGCCGTTGCCCCCAAAGCCGATTATTACCCGTTGGGGTACATGTATTAAAGCAGTGTGTTATTTTCAACATCATTATAATGAAGTGAGAACTGTGCTTGAATCATTTGACCCCCGTTCCAGTGTAGCAATTAGAAATTGCCGTGAACTAATGGACAAACCAGAATTACTTGCTGATATAAATTTTGTGGCACAAAATTTCGACATGATCCCTGAAATAATTTGAACTTTGGAGTCTTCAAAAGTTTCGGTACAATTCGCCCTGAAAAAAAACTTAACGAATTAAAAACTAAAATTTAAGCAGTACCAGGAGCTGTAGGAATTCGGTTACAGGAAAAGATGGCTGCCGTTTTACAAAGAAATCCTGATTTAGAAATAGTAAAGTGTTTAAAAGAAAAATTTGGTACCGAGTCTTATTGGTATACGAGTACCAGTAGATGCTTTCCAGTTTGCCCCATTAACGTCTGTGGATTGCAAAAGATCTTTTTCGGATCATAAATATATTTTAGATGTAAAAAGAAATAAGTTAACCAAAACTAACCTAGAAAAACCACTTCTGACATATTTTAACAAGAATTCAATGTAAGTATTATAATTTTAAAATAAATACTATTGGTAACCAACTAAAGTATATTCTTACATATTCAGATCAGTTACAAGTAGATTTTCATGTGTACGGAGTCCGATTAACGTTTTACGGCACTCATGACACAAAAAGTTTAAAACTGTCAACTTTTGTTGTCTGGCATTGAATTTTCACCAATCAGAAAAGAGCATGAAGAGCGTCCCGCAAAACGTTTACCGAACGCCGTACACATAAAAATCAAGCTTTAGACCAGATTTAAATTTAAAACTTCTCGTTAGCAATGTCAATTTTGTTTTGTTTCTACACCAATGCACTGCCACAAAAAAATGCGTTTTTAACTTTCTTGGCTCCTTATTTGTATTTTAAATTACTCTTTATACGATTTAATTCTGTATGCATTAATTAGTTTTTAATAAAACTACAAATTGTTCAATATATAACTTTTTTGTTTAACAAATAAAAAACAAAAAATTTATTTATACAAAATGTATGCACAAGTTACTTTAAAAACCAAATTGTTACCTTACATCAATTTTAACGGCAATGAATCGCTTGTTAATGTTACAAATAAAATTTACTGACGCATTAAATAGTTATTAGCAGATGGACCTGAGTGCGGCCATGTAATGTCCCCCAAATTCCGACCACTATAAAGGTAGCATTTGAGTAGGCGCGTAAGGCGACCGCCGACGCGACATACGACCACTGCACAACAGGTGCATTAATTTTACCCTTCGTAACCTTTCGTGGGAAAAAATCAGCGTTGCCAGACCTACTATTTTCACGTAGATCTACTGTTTTTGTCTCTAGCAAATTTTGTTCTTAATTTATTAAGTTTGCCTCATTCTTCAGCAAATGGTTAAAGAATATTTTCTCTTGTAAATTTTCTGCAGTAAAAGCAGCGTAATAAGCATCCACTACTGTAGGTTGGCTCCATAAAAAAAAAACATCAAGATAATCATTGTTTTTATTTAAAATGAAACAAAGAATTAATAGGGCATCATAAAAAGAACATGTATATGCCAAACACTACGATTTTGAATTATTCAATTCAGACTGACCTAAAAGAAGTAGGTACTTATTATTTTTCATTGGTTTTTATCCCGTACGTTAAGTATATATTAAAAATGTTTTTATTCTTTGTTTACTTTCTAAAATATACTGTTCAGATCTACTGTATTAAAATCTGGCAACGCTGCCTAGATCGAAAGAAATTTTCGACCGAATGCCGAGGACAGTGACCTCGAGTGAACGGTTTCCACCGAAAAGGGTATCCACGACATTTTTCGGTCGTGTCGCCTCATGCGAAATGTGTGTTATATAATTGTATGTATTTTAGATGTGAAGCGACACTTCTCTGACGTGTCGGCGGTCGTATGTCGCGTCGGCGGTCGCCTTACGCGTCTACCGAAATGGTACCTTAAGACGTTACTGATATAATATCCGTAACGTCTTATTTTTATTATTTCTGAATGGTACAATAGCTTGTTTTTAAATAGTAACTACCTGTTTCTTGCAATTTTTTAGCACATAGACTGATACAACCGGACCCCAATCGTTTCACAAAGTGTATACAGGGAATTTCCAAAGTAATCTGAAATATTTTTGCGGGCGATTCGTTCAATTCGTTCACTAAAAGCACGTATAAACATGTGTATTAGATTTTGTTGTTCATGAGATACTGGGTACGCTTTGAGCTTTATACAGCCTAGAAGTTATGTGGAAACAATCTCTTCTTCTATTTCGTTTTAAGCTTGCGATTCTTCTTAAAGTAAATTAACTTCCTGGAACCTACCAAACGACGCGACATACCATTAATAATTAAAGTTAGGAAACTTTAAAACAAAATAATTAACAAAATTGGATAAGTGTGTCCTGTTTATTTATTATCCATTGAAATAATGAAATTGACAACTTAATTTCAAAAGAGCCACTATGATTTTACTGTTGCAAGTTACTTTGCATTCGTAAAAAAGCTAACAACTTGCTATAACAGTTTTTATTACAGTTTCTATTACGAACTTTTTCAAATATTTTTTATTAGGTGCAATAAAAATGTTTAAAAATATTATTGGTTAGTGTGCATTTTTTTGCAATAATCTGTCAATTTTTGTGAATTATTAAAATTTGACAACACAATTTTTTTTTTTTTTTTTTAGTTCCCTTTCATACAGTAGAGTGCCATTTTGAAACAAATCCAGAGTATAAGGGTTGTGTCGAAAATTTTCTCATTAATGAAAGTAGTATAATAGTGCAAAAAGACGATTTGGACAGAGATCACGGTACAACAAACTATTCATGTAAAGTTACCTGTTGGGATAATCCCACAAGTAAGTTTTAAAACCCATATTAAATAACACAATAAGTCCTAGAGCTGGGAGTAAAATAAACTCCCTCATAATTACCAAAAGTTTGCAGTATAAAACTATAAGAATACCAAATTAGAAATCGCTCATCTGCCGGGCCTTAATGGGAGACAAAATACTCAAAATAAAAAAAATCAAAGTAGGTGAGAGAGGGGGCACCTTTCAACACTTTTTTAATTGGAGTTTTTTATCTCAAAATAATAGATAGTTAAAAGGCTATTTAGTGACAATATAATACTGTTATATTTTGTATATCAAATGATAATAGGAAATTTTTATAAAATCTATTTTTTATCGATTACATAGGATTATCAATATTTTTGAGCAGATTGTTGAAAGGTGCTCCACTGAGGGGCACAATTCAACATTGAGTGGGGCACAATTCAACATTGAGTGTGATGCAATTCAACAAAACTTTTTACAAAAATAAAGTTATTTATTCTTACAGAAAAGTGTCTTAAAACATAAGTAACTTAAAATACGTTAAATGTTTATCGAAAATTAAACGAAGACAAGGACAATTTAAACGAAATTAAGGATTGTGTTTTTTCCGTGCCCTTTAACTGTGAAGGAGATTGCAATTTGCCGACCACATCTCCGATTTCTACAGTAGAAATATCGTCAGTTTCAAGAAAATAAAATTTTAAACCTTTCTTTCTCATGTTCTTGACTTCTAAGTCACAACTGGTATTTTTAAAAATTCGAGCAACATAGTGCACTTCAGTTTTTTTGGTAAAAAAATTTACAACTTTAAAATCATCTACTCACAAGTTTTCAAATACAACTTCATAGTCCGGGATCCGTAAGTAATGTCGACCTTCACCCATCTGTTTAATGGATAAAAGTTTTTTTTTTATAAATAAAATATGTTTTTGAATATACCGCAAATAGGTTGCCTAGGAAAATACGGTCACGGCAATTTTTTATTTTCCTTTCTGTGTACAGATAGGGAAAGGATAGGAATCATGATAAAAGTTGCTTATGGTATCATTCTCTATTATTTTGTTCCTATACATAATTTCCCTAAAATGGACCTAATTCGAGATATTTAAAAAAGTGCAAATTTCGAATTTTGAAGATAACTCAAAAACAGATAAAGAGAAAAACATCAAATTTTAAACTAAGGTGAGCTGATTAAAGTTTGGGCATAGTCAAAGCATCTGGGAAATACTTTACAGGGTGTCGTCTTTTTTTACTTTAAGAAAATAAATAGTTTGAACCGTATTTTCTTAGGCAACAAATTTGCGGTATATTTATAAACACATTTTATTTAATAAAAAAAAACTTTTATCCATTAAACATATGGGTGAAGATCGACCTTACTTCAGATCTTAGACTATCATAATCAAGTTCATCTTCCGACCTTTCTTCTTCCAAATCCAGAAAATCATAATCATCATGGATGGAAAAAGATTCATCTGAACTGGATGTTTCTTTTGTGTTGAAGACTCTCTTTGTAACTTTCGCTTTTTTCTGGTCTTTAACTCTTAATGCCTCTTCCAAGGCTTCTTTCTTTGGAGTTTCTGTAAGAATTTTAGATCGGTCTCTCTTTCTACCGCGTGGATTTTCACTTCTTGGAGATACTTTTGGATAGGGTCGTACAGTTTTAATAGGCGGAGTAGGCAAGCTGTTCGATGGAAGGTCTTTTGGATTATCGATGCTATCTTTGCTGGTCGACGGCAATGAAGCACTCTCAGGTGCTAACTGTTGTGGCTGGGGCTGTGGCACATCCGTGTTGATCGAAGAATTTATATCAGGCCTATCAGTGACCGTAGCACAATCAAAGTCTTCGTCTGTAAATGCGTTATGATCAAATGATATATGCCCGGTTTTTGAAATCCAGCAATAATATTTTTCATAGTAAAGGAATTTTGGAATGCTTTTCTAGACAGCTGAGCAATATTGTGAATGGTTATTATCTTGCCTGGATGCGAAAGCATCCAATCATTTTGTGCAACTTTATATTTCGCCTTAAAGGGTCTCATTACAGATACATCTAGCTGATGTGTACAATGAGGTGAAAAAGTTACCATCACAATTCTATGATCTTTTGCATACACTACAGCATCGAAAGACCAGTGACTACTGTGTTTATTGAGAAGTAGCAATATGGGATCTTCCTTATTGCATTTTGTGCAGGTTACTAAGTGCTCTAGAGTTTTTAGGTACAAAGGCGCAGTCATCTATCCACTAGTTGGGCTATTAACTAATCCGAGACTTCCTGGTGGCACCCCAATCATAAATGTATCGTGAAACCTTTCCCTAAAAAGAATGTAAACAGACGGTACTGTATTTCCCGACGCACTGACAATTTCAACCATTGTAGCAAGTGTTCCTATTGGGCGCTTGTACAATTCATTACACCAGTCTCGTCCAGGTTAAATATTCTCTGAGGAGAAAATGGATGCTGTAATTTTCGTAAAATTCCATGACATTTGTTTTGTTAAAACTCGTACTCCTAGATAAACTCGTTTTTTCTGGCTTACGCAATGATAGTTGTTCGTGTCTCTTCATAAAACCCTTTACCCAGTCCGTTCCTGCTAATCCATTCTCTTTTCATTTTTTAGAAAATTTTCTGTGTAATTTTAACGCATAATCGTAAGCCAATGTCTGCAATAGTTTTACGTTAGTCCATTATTCATTCGAGAGCATTTAAGAATATTGTAGGACCAGTTGCTGTTCTTGTTTATTCGTAAACACCTGTCTGAAGGTATGCTTCGAGGAAAAATGCTCGCGATTCGGTGTCTCTTGTTTTTTTAGTCGATAATATAGTGCAGTGTGACCTACTCCGAAGGATTCAGCAGCTTTTCTTAGAAATAGTTCTTTCTTTCTTACACATTGCTTTGGTTTCTGCATATCTTCTTCACTAAATTCCGGTTTTGTTCACTTTTTTATATAATTTCTGACTATTGTGTTAAGTATATGCAAAGATCTGTAAACAAGAAAGATAGTATTAGCTAATCTCCACATATATTGTTTTCGTTAAACCTTAACTAAGTGTTAATACATAATATGAGGCACTTTTGAACACTATTCAAATGTTCCCCTAGTATTTTGTTTAATTGTGCCCCATACATATAAAAAACAAATAATTATAAAATAAATATATATGAAAACTTACCTGTCTTAATTCAAGAGTACCTTACTTCTTGACACCTTACCATACCACAAAAACGATATCACTTTTAAATTGTCAATATTTTAGTTTTAATTTAAAATTTTAATTACGTGCGATGTTATAATTTATTTAGGTAAATCATATATCCCATCTAATTGTAAGACGCAAACGACCGGCAACTAGTCAGTGCACGAACACGGTATGTCGTAGTTCTTTTAGGCTTCGTTGCCAAACTGCACTTTTATAAAGATTCAGTACAGATCTTTTTTTAAATACATTGTTTAAAAGTTGCCCCGTTCAAAGGTGCCCCTTTCTCCCCTACATTTACTTCGTTAATACATTAAATGCAAAATATGAACAAGATTGATTTTTTAAATATAATTAGTTAGTTTATTGTTTAGTTATTCGTATAGTACAAAGAAAACTTCAAAAGATGATCGCATTTATAAGACAGACAGACAGTAAGAAATCTTTTTATAAATCGAATAAAATTATTAATATCTTTTTAATTGTGATCGTCTGCTATTAAAAAGTTATCGTAAAATCAAAACAGACAATTTTTTATAAATCCAAGAATAATTATAGTTACAAAGTTTAAAGTAAGTAATCAAAATAATTTCCTATTTTCTGCATATTTTTATTAATTAAATGCAATATAGTAGTTTTTCTACGATCACTATCCAAAGTAGGCTTCTGCGCTTTGAAATCTAACTGCAAAGTTGACGTTGACGTTCGTCTCAAACGAGAAGGTAGATCGCCCAGCCAAAACCAACGTTGCCAAACTTACCCGGTTTATGTCGTCTAATATGTGCGTCCAATGCTTAGCGGGAGATTCAAAATGTCATAAAATTCTTTTAAAGGTTATTTTGTTATGGTTTTCCTGTTTCATTTAAAAAGCCTTTTTAATAAAACACATCAGGTAGCTATAACAATTTATTATAAAATATAAGTATTAAGGTAAATTTCAATATTGATGATCATTTGATGATTTAGTTGATTTTCAAATAATTTGTTCCTCAGAAGTATTACTACTTAAATTTTCTCGAATTATTTTGGTTTTTTCTACTGAAGGCCGTTTAAAATTTGTTTTTTTGTTTTTTTTTTTTTTTTCGTTGATGTAAATCTGACGTGTGGGTCAATATACCTTTTAAGGGAGCTGGATCCCTTTTTGTCATTAAAATGTTTGGATTGTATTTCCGAAAATTTTGGGCATTTTGTAATTTTGTTAATAATTGTAAGATGATGGTGTATTTTGTTGATAGTGGTATCATCAAGTTGATGAAAATCTAAATTTTCTAATTGAATTGCCATCATCTTTATTTCATTTATATTGCATCCTGATTTATTTGCAGATTGTTTACTTTGTGTTAGAGCCGTTAAGGTGTCTAATATTAAAATATCTTTATTTTCATTAGAATTTTTATCTATTTTTTTATTTATGCTGGGAATTATCATGTGTATGTGTTTACACATATTTCTATTTTCATAAAAATATTTGCAATCACAGCAAAACATGTGATTGCATGTGTTACAAAATAAACAAATGTGTTCACAGCATTTTTATCAATTATTTGCTGAACAGTATAATATGTTACATTTTCATTTTTTAAAATACTTCAACCTTTATTGATATCCATATTGTTTATAGTATATTTATTACTGTTTTTAAGTGCTTCATGATGATTTTTGGATAAAAATCTCGTTTTCTGTGTATGTTCACCTTTACTTAATCTAATAATTCTTTGAACGCATTTGTCTCTTACATACTTTAATACCATATTTAGACCTATATCAAGTCGTTTTACAGTTTTTCTTTCTAAGTAAAAGTATTTTATATCTTTATGCA